AATAAAGATAAATCTTGTTGAAAACATTTTTTTTTTTCATAATTGTTCACTAGAAAAAATGTGTCCAAATGATTTAACTTTTTTTCTTTTTTACTTAAATAACAAAAAAAAAAATTTAAAATCATAGCCAAAACGTAGCCTAGGATTTTTATTTTTATTTTTGAAAGAGAAAAAAGGATGCCTTGAGGTGTCGTCATGGCATCTGTGGGCTTAGGCTTCGGAGTAATCGGTTGTGAGCTTGATTTAACCTAATCCATAAGAAGGGACCTACCACCGAGATATCAGTGAAATTCAACCATACGCCACAAATGAGCTCAGGTTTCGATCGGAGTACTGAGCGAGGTTTCTGGAATGAGCCATTGGAAGGACCGGTATTTCGCTCCTCCCCAAAAATCGAACTTGAGTTGCCCCTGTAAAGAAGGATGTCTTCTCTACTAGACCACCACCCCAATAGTAACATAAGATAATGATGTTATTCTCAGCAGCCCAATAGGAAGAATCGGGTCACATGTAACCCGTATGTACATTTATCTCTCTCTTATATGAATTTGGGGAGACACAAGTGTGTAAGTTGATGAGATCTAGTCAAAAATTTGGTTCAATTGGCAAATATGATGAAGTTAGATCATTCTCTATTGTTGGTTAGAGAGTCAACACCTACTAGCCCGTACATAGAAGAAAAAAATGACAAAACATTAAAAATCATTCAGCGACTTTGGCATTACGTGGCTATGATATCGATCAATTATTAAACATTCAGCAATGTTAGTTGGTCATAAATTTTGTGACTCAAATGGTCCAAAACTATCAAAATGATATCGTTTTGAATGTAAAACGACATCGTTTTGACAGTTTCGAGTCATTTGAACTACAGAATTTGTGGCCCTCAAACATTTTTCTTAAACATTAGTTTTGTTTGAGAAGTTGATTATTATTTTAGTTAGTTATTCATTTTATTTATGTTTGGAAAGTTAGTTTTTTTTTTTTTAATTGATTTGATCATTGTGAAAGAAAAAATAAAATGATTATAAATTGAATGTGATATTTGGTCTTATTGACTATTTTAGTCTATTTTATCTTTTAATAGACTATTAATCCAACAATCTTCCTAAACACCCCCATCATAAATTTTGATATCAAGCCGCAAAAATCTATGAATATGATTTGAAATTTCGAATTGAAGTCACCTTAAAAAACTGCTAGAGATTTGTCCAATTATTAATTTCAAAATTTCAAAATTAGGTAAGATGAACGAAAACTAATCCGAATATCTGATTACAAAATAATAATAATAATATTAAATAAAAATCATAAAATGCAATGGTTGTTGCCCATGAATCAACATAAAATCTTAAATCGGTTCTTACACTAATTACAATATTTTCAAAATATCACCTAATCATATTTCAAAATCATTGAATTACTTCTCGATCATGAGATATGGGTAGGCAACTGTGTAGGCCACAGGTACGACTTTGCAATCATTCATATTACATATGCTTTATACCATCTGCATGTGATTTTGGGCCTATCCCCGTCATAAAACATTAGCCCTATGATTTTTATTTTTATATTTTTGACTTTTTACCTATTTTTAGTGGTTTTTAAAATATTTCAATTATTTTATTTTATTTTTTAGATACATTTTAATTAGATAAATTTAAAAAGTACAAAAAAATTGATTAAAATATATATAAAAATTCACTAAAAATAAACAAAAACTCGTCTAAAAATCAAACCAAACATTTATTTTTTTAAGGAGAAAGTTAGGTCTTTTTACTAAAATATTAACAAAAATGCTTTAGAGCTCTAATATGGGAGCTCTAATAGCTCTAATGAGAATGTGGGACCCACCCTGATGTGATGTTTGTGTTTTTTTTTTTTTTACTTTAACACATCACTAGAGCTCAAATTAAAACTCTAGATTTAGAGCTCTTTTTTACCTATTTTTAGTGGTTTTTAAAATATTTCAATTATTTTATTTTATTTTATTTTTTAGATACATTTTAATTAGATAAATTTAAAAAGTACAAAAAATTGATTAAAATATATATAAAAATTCACTAAAAATAAACAAAAACTCGTCTAAAAATCAAACCAAACATTTATTTTAAGGAGAAAGTTAGGTCTTTTTACTAAAATATTAACAAAAATGCTTTAGAGCTCTAATATAGGAGCTTTAATAGCTCTAATGGGAATGTGGGACCCACTCTGATGTGATGTTTGTGCCTTGTCTTTTTTTTTTTTTTTTTTTATTTTTTTTTTTTTTTTACTTGGACACATCACTAGAGCTCAAATTAAAGCTCTAGATTTAGAGCTCTCTAACATTTCCCAAATATTAACCCTGATATAAGAAAGTTTCAATTTACACACTACCGTTCTTTTTAGTTGAATTTTAATTTTTGCTCAAAACATACAAATAATATTTATAAAAAAAGAAAGAAAAAAACTCATATCTTTAACTTTAGAATTATAATCCTAACCACTTGCCACCACCTCTCTCCCTAACAACCCATTACTAGCTCCTTCTTCGATTACCACCATCATCACAGAGATACTAATACTAGATTGCAATTGCAAACACCACCATTCAATAGTTAATCTTCGAACAAATATTATTTATTTGATTATTATTTTCATATTTCAATTACCTGTTCAATCCTAGTAGTTTAACAATTGACAGTAACGATAGACAGGGTTTACAGTGGTGGTGTTTGTGATGGTGGTGCTTCGGGGTGATGGGGTTCGCAATGGCTAGTGGTGGTGTTGGCTAGGGTTTTGCAACGGCCAACAATGGTAGGGTTAGGAGGAAAGATGTGTACCTGTTATTCTTAATGATAAATTACTTAGAAGTCAATCAAATAAACAATGTAAGAGCATCAACGGTTCATTACTTTTTTCACCAAATCTGAGTAAAAAATAGTTGATTTTCTCAATTTGATACGGCTAGCTCCAACGGTGTATACCAAAAGGGAAGGGGTCGTCCGGTTGGTCGACCGGTAAGGCTTTTAAATATTTTTTTTTTTTTTTTCCTACCGGTAAGGCTTTTTTTTTTTTTTTTTTTTTTTCCTTCCTGATTACTCCTATCAAAACCTTTTATTTGTTAGTAGACATTGCTAAGTTATGATCTGAGTGTAACATTTGATTTGCTTTTTATCTTGATTTTGATTTTTCAGAAACAAGATGGATTTCCACAAGTACTTTTGACGCTTTGATTCAAATTTCCACAGGTAAAATCCTCAAACTGAGCTTTTTCCTTACCCATGGCAAACCTACCCATGGCAAAATCCTCAAGTTCATCAACTGAAGATAAAACTGAGCTTTTTCCTGCATCTTGTTCCACAGGTTCTGAAAACAACCCAGAAGTTTATGCCTGGGAGGGAGATTGCTCATGGCAAAATCCTCAAGTTCTTCAACTGACGCTTTGTAATATGGATTTTGCCATGGTTCCTCAAGTATATGCCTGGGTAAGGATTTTGACGCTTTGATTTTGAACAAGATGGATTTCCACTGGTACTTTTGACGCCTTGATTCAAATTTCAAGCTTGAGGGTCATCCGGAGGGTCAACCCTGGTCATCCTATTGGTCATCCGGTAGTGAAAATACAACGGTAATGAATAGTGTTTTGGTGAAAGACCCAGCGCATTCTCATTTTGGTGAAACATTTGGTGAATTCTCATTTTGATATCCATTTGGTGAAACCATTGGAGTGAGAAAAAATGACTTTTTCATCAAATTTTAAATCTGATACAGAGTTTGATGTACTGTTGGAGATGGCCTAAATAAAGAATAATTGAAGTGTGTCTATAATTCTTTCAAAAAAACAGTGAAGTTATCAATTACCGCTTTTGAATTTCTTTCCACCCACATTCGCTCTCATACATTGGAAATTGTGCGCTAACAAAACAAAGTGAAAATTAATGAAAATTTTCCTAAAATTTTTTTGACATAGCCACTTCCCTCTTGCACACAATGAGGGCTATTGAAGACAAATTTGAGAGGTATTATTGGAAGTACATACAACAGCTTGCTTCAACGTAGGACCACCCTAGTAGTTTTATAGTACACTCTCTTTCCATGAAATAATAAAGGGTAGCACACTCCCCCCACCCAATAAGGTGATGAAAGAACAAGGGTAGCCCATCAAAATAAAGCAACTTTGAAGTGCTTACCCAACAAAACAGCAGCTTACACTTCAGTCGTATGTTGTTGATGTAGTAGAAAAAGTTGTAGATTATTGAGTGACTAACTAGAGTACAATCTTATCCACAAGACTACTCATGCCCTCTTGTCATGATGTGAAGATCCAATTTGGTGTAATTTTTGTTGAGTTTAAAAGTTGATAATAAAAAGTATAAATTAAAAATAAATCTTTTTTTTAATTTATTTAAATTGTTTATGTCACATAAGTTATAAGCAAAGCAACATCAAACACATTGACATAGAAGCGAGTCCTTGACATAGACATGACACATTGACGTAGAATCTTAAAATAAAAACAATATGATTAAAAATTATAAGTAATTTCAGTAAACTACACCAAAACATGATGAATATCATTTAGGCTCAGCTTTGGTTTGCTGGGGTCACAACCCAACAATTTGAATGGGCCAATCTGGGCTGGGCTGGGCTGGGCCGGGCCGGAAAGTCAATCCTTGGGTTGGGTGGATAGTTCAGCTATGGACTTAGGCTTTTTGAAGTGAGTCCATAATCATCCAAAAATTGAATCAACTCTGTTTTTAATAACAATATGACATATTATGCTCTGTTTAATTGAAATGAGATAGAATGGTCATTTCTTAAAAATAATCAGTAATGAAATTTGCAGGTGAACAAGAAGAAAAGTCAAAAATAAATAAATAAATAAAAGAAAAGTCAAATTTCCAAACTTTTCCCAAAAATATATAAGTAAAATTTAAAATAAAATAAAAATTGCAAAATTCACAATATATCAATTTCATAAGCAGAAGGGCAATCCAGAAGCAAATGGCTCCACAAGAGATACTAATCAAGTCTGTATAATGAAATAACCAGTACCAAAAAAAAAAAGAAAAAACGAAGTATCTTTTACACAATACAACATCTGATGACAACATGTGAACCGAAGCCAAAAAAAAATCGACATTGAAACAGAAACTTCTTCCATCTCAACACAGTAAAAGTCAAAAATTAAATTACAATGCAAATCACGAACAAGCTCTTAAAAATGGGCAATAAATATGAACTCAAAAAAGATGTAGCTCAACTCCCACCTCAGTGGTAGTCATAGCAAGTAATCCGTAATACTCCCCACATAGTTTCTCAGTATCGAATCTAAAAATACTACAGACTATCTCTAGGATGATACAAGTGAGGGACTGGAGATAATCTTACGATAGTAGGCCCAAGATGAGCTTGTTTCATCGATGGCCACTTGACCAAAAGGATGTTCCTCTATATACTTCCGAAAATCTTCAGCTGTAGCTAAATCTTGCAGATAAACTCGAAGATCACCTTCAGGACCTGAAGGAAAAGGCATTATTTTACAAATTTGCTTCGTCAAACACAAATTAAATAGCAAAAATTTCTGATGGATAAAGATGGATGACTGGAAGAATGATCATCTAACAAGTTGGTAGTTCTCATACAATCAATGTTGAGTTCTTAGTATAATTTGATAATAGGAATTTCTTTGCACAAGTTGTATGAATGATTGGATCAACAATTCAATTAAGTAGTCGTGTTAATCCATTCTTCACAGACAAGAATAAGAAGACAGAGGAAGAAGAAGATAGAGAAAAAATTATGGATCAGATTGAAGATAACTCACCTAATGAATTATCACTCCTATCCTTGAAGTTATACGAATAGGGGAAGATTCCAGTGTGCATCTAGAAAATATTTACACAAAAAACAAAATAACAGAGTAAGGAGCATAAATAAAGGACCAAGAGGAATTTAGAAGAAGATCCACTAAAACAAAGCAAAGAGTGAGGGTGACAAGCTTACAGGATTCAGCAAGGCCTTATATGGAGAATCATCCAACAATAAAGTATTTGACTCATTATAATATCCTGTCTCCCAAGGAAGATTAATGTCTTGTTTTTCCCATAGTTTCCTCAGCTCCTTAAAGACCACTTCCTTATGCTTGTTTTCAAGTGTTCTGAACCCTGTCCCTGTGCAGTGGGATATATCCTGCAAAATCAACACATACAGATCACAAGTCGCCCCATTTTTAGCAAAATTGTGAGATATATATATATATATATATATTGAGAACCATGGAGATTGATTGGAGATTGATGATGGTATAAATATCAATCTCCATGATGATGGTATAATGTAATAGAAATAATCAAAATAAAGCAACTTTGAAGTGCTTACCCAACAAAACAGCAGCTTACACTTCATATCTCCTAACAAATAATCAACCACTCCATCAATAATTTTCCTGCATATTTTGAGCAACAACCACAGAAAATAAAGCAAGGAGGCAATAAGTAAATTTAAAAAATAAAATAAAATAGCTGTTTATAGGAATTAGAAATGGTTAGTTGAAATAATCAATAAAAATAATCAGAGAAAATGCTGAAGAGCACTTAGTTCTTGAAGACCAAATGGCAACGTCAAATCTCTCAAAGCAGAACTTCAGAAAATCATTACAAAAGGGTCTCTTGAAAACTGAAACAGGAAATAAATTACTACATTAGGTTTGAAAAGATCAATCATGGACAATGCCTGCAAAATTATAAATGGAAAAGGTTTTAATCAATAACGCCTCAAAAAACATTCAATGCTCAATTCTCACTTGCCCGTCTTGAGATGTTTGTGTCTGCTTTACACTCCTTTGGTGGGGGACAAACTATATCTGCAAGCAGCCCATTTAAATCAAGGATAAGAAGTTTTCTCCTCAAACAAGCAACAGGTAGTCTTTCTGGAGAAGGATGAGAAACTTCCACGAAGTTATCCTCTCTGTTAAGAACAGCTAAACAAGCACGTTCAGTTGCATCCAAATCACAGGAAGGGTGGTTCCTTTCACTCTTTCTGTCTGCTAAAGTTACCTCAATGGTTTTTTGCTCATAAACAGAAGATCTTTCTATTGCTTGGTCCGACTCATGTTCAAACTTTTTCTCTTTTTGTACCAAATCTGATGAAGAAGCAGCCAGAGATTCTACATTATCATTGGTTTCCAAGGAAGATGTAATTAGACTTTTACTACAATGAGTTCTAGATTCTTCTCTCGCAGAAAATCCAAAATCTTCAACTGTACTTTGAATTTTATCTCGCCTATCATAAATTTTCCGTTCATGGTATTCATCTGACTGGCTCAGATTTGAGATAATATCTATGTGATTGGTCCTAGACAAGCAATGTCCATTATAACTAGACATCATACTAATCTTTTTTCTCATTCTCGTCTTCTTTTCTTGCTCTGCATGGTCCTTGGCAGGATGTTCGATTGAATCAGCATAAGACCGCAGAGTTGAATCTACTTGTAGGAGAGCATCTTGCTCATTGCTGTTGGCCATTAGAAAAGTTCTATTTATGTTAAAGACTTCAAAACTTTCCTGTGAGGTTAGTTTCCTATTCTTGAATCAGAGTCTGCATATGAGTCAGAGTTGCATTGTCCTTTAGCATTCCTTATGTCTCTTGGTACCTGAAATGTACCACACACACAAAAAAAAACCTTAATAGGAACTGGAAAGTCCTATTCTTCATACTATTATCATTCAAACTATCAAAAGAATAGGCTCACAATCTCCTTTGAAGAAAAGATACAATGTTGAGAAAAGTGGAAGCTTTCAAGGATAAAACCAACAAGTTTTGATGAACAAATATTTTTGTATGATATGTTTACTATATATCATAAACCAAAAAAATTATGAAATTTTAAAGCCCCACAATGAAGGCCCTAAAAAGAATCCTCAATCCATAAAAAAAATGTTAATAACTTACTTGATTACAGCTCTATCAAAATTATATTATGTAAATATAGAAACATCTATTGACAAAATGGAAACAAATCAGAGTGAATATCATATGAAGAGAGACCAAGTGAATATATATGAGTGTCAATAATGTATTATTTATCGTGTGCACAGGATACGTTAACTATTAATATTAGACGTTTGCAACTTTAGGCCACAAATTATCTCAGGCTACCTTGCAGAAATATATATATATATATATATTATTTATACTATATATACTACAATTATAAAGAATTTATTTTCATTATGAAAATGTATGAATAAAATAAAAATATTTTAATTTGATTAAAATAATAAAGTTTATAATTTTAAATAAGGTTAAGGTTTTTATATATATATATATATATATATATATATATATTTTGATATGATGTTTTAGTTTTCAGATGAATTCAATCATACCTTTAACAGTCTTATTTCACAGAAATAAAATGATGGTATTGGGCCGCCACCACTTGTAGTATCTATCTATAGGGTTTTTGGTTTTGGTGTAGACCCTTTTTTTTGGTCACAGTTTTTGTTTATACCTAAACTACCCTTTCTGTGTAACTAACTGTCCAAATTCAAATATGAATAATATCTCTTCAAGCACAGACAGACAGACAGACAGAGAGAGAAGAGGATATTAATCTTTACGCCAACAGCAATCACAATTTGAAAGGCAAAACAAATACAATCCAGAAATCAAACTAACAAACGCAATAGAAAGAAATCAAATTTGAAAACATTGCAGACATTGAAACAGATAGATAGATAGATAATTGAAGTAGAGAAAATCAAAACATACCTGCAATGCAAAGACTTGACCTTGTTCGTCTCCGCCAAAGAACATCTAAATTTTGGTATATAAAAAATAAAAAATAAAAAAAGAGATGAAATTCCTATAGATGAGTTTCTTTCTACATATCTACCTACTAGTATAATTTATTATTAAACAGGTCTTCGCGTCATGGCGTGTGCGTTGTAGATGTTGCGAAACTTCTGTCGCTTTGACTATCTCTCCATCGCAGACTCTGGAGTCCGAGAGTCCAAATCAATTTTTTTTTTTTTTTCCTTTTTTTTTTCCTTTTTTTTTTCTTGCCCTTTTTCATAGATAGTAGTAGTATTATTAGTAGGTGGGAATGGGAATGGGAATGGGAATGGGAATGGGAATGTGAAAGGGCGGGATTGGAAGCGTTGCAGGGGAAGAACCCCGCCCTCGTGAGTCTCACCATAAACGCTCCTCCAAACTACTGAATCGAATTTAGGGTTCGATTCGAACCGTAAGTTTTTAAGAAATTATTGTGTGCTCTTGGAGCATTGTAGTTCCGCCCACAGCAGCCACATGTTTCATCCTTCTCTTCTCTTGCTTTTTATAAGAGTAATTATTTGGTAGTCTTAGGCTGGATTTGGTTGAGTGATTTGAAAAGAGAAGTAGAATGGAGAAAAAAAATGTGTGTGAAATTAATTAAAGTATAAGTATATTTTATTCATATTTTATTTATATTTTTTATTTTTCCTTTTAAATCTTTTCTCAAATTCTTAACCAAATACAATATTAGAGTATTATTCCTGAGCATTTATCACTTAACACTCATTTTATTATTTCTCAAAAACTCTACAAAAAGTATTTATTGTGTTTGATTTTAATTTTCTGAATTCAATTTTCTAGAAATTGAGTTTTTTTTTGTTTTTCGTATTTTTTATTTTTAGCGAATACTTTTTAAGTTTTAAACAATTGTTTTACTTTTTTAGATGCACCTTACTTAGATTTATCTAAAAAGTAAAATATTTGAAAAAAAAAAATTAAAAATCAATAAATACATAAGAATCTGAAAAATGTATTGAATTTTTATATTTTTTTATATTTGGGAAAATTAGTTTAAGATCCCTCTCTCATTTTTAGTAATGGAAGAGATCCACAATATTATTTTTTGATGTGTAAGATCCCTACAGAGAAATTTGATATACCTCACACCTTCAAACCATCACCCTCCTCTATTTTTCTCTCTCCCTTCTCTCTCTCTCTCTATCTCTCTCCCCTCGCGACCCACTCGCCTTATCATCGACGACACCAACCAAGTTCTTAAAAAGGCCTCTGCCCTCGTCCACAAGTGCCGCGCCCACGGCGTCGTCAAGCGAGTCTTCACCATCATCCCTGCCGCCGCCTTCCACAAGATGGCTGCACAGCTTGAGAACTCCGTCGGCGACGTCTCCTGGCACCTCCAGATAAGAGAATTTCTCTCTGGCCTGCTCTTACCAGATTTTTTCTTTGAAAGCCCCTGTCAATTTCTGTGAAGCAAATCCCAGTTGGGTGGTGGGAGAGAAGGTCCATCCCCGTCATGAATTAAGTTTGTATGTGCATGAGAATTGTGGTGCGAAAACTCTTAATTCTCATGCTGCGAGGGTCGGAAAAAATCTGATATAAATTTTTCAGGCAATCCCAAAACCGTCCAATTTAAGAACTGGACCATTCGGAATTCCACTTGCCTCAATGATTCCCCCGATGGTGCAGAGAAATCAGGCTGGAACCGGTCCATCAAGCTCACTATTTCAGGTGTGTATATTTTTGACTAGTGGCAGCCCTCCCAGTGTCCCTAACTCATCTCCAGAAGTGCATCTGAGGACTGTATTTGTTCTTCTACTAAGTTCATCTCCTGTATAGTTTAACATGTAACGTTTTGATCAAATGTAATTTAGAACATTCAAATAATAATACACTGTTGTATGAAAAATCAACTCTCTATCACCCTTTGAGCTGCTTCAAAGGAAAACTAGGAATGTGAAGACACATACGGTATTTTGCACAAGGGAGATAAAATTTCATCTGAAGGAACTGGTCAGGACTCTGCTTTGAATTGAAATTTCTCTGGGTTGGTCCAGAGAAATTCTCTGATTTGGATTGAAATTTTCTCTGGATTGATCCTTGGTATTAAGATTTTTCAGCATAGAGTTTATTATTTATCTTATTTTCATCGTTAACCTCTATGTCATGTTGCATCTCCAATCCAAACCATCCCCTGATATTGAATCGCAAGCTTTGCCCTTCATGATTATTTCCTTCCCAGAATTGTCATCAATCTATTCTCAACATTTTAAACTCAGAGAATTCTCTAGACCAGAAGTTCTCTCGACAGAATTTCTCTGGACAGAATTTCTCTAGATCAAATTGAGGGACTTAGACATTATGAAAATATTAGATGTCCTTTATACTATAAAATCTTAATACCAGGGACCCTAAAAAAAAAAAACCTTTATATTTTTGGTATTTAGTAAATTATTTAAATATTTTTTCATAAATATTATACTTTTTAGTGTATTTATGTTAAGTGTATTTAAAATTTTTTAAAAAAATTACTTAAAATATTAAAAAAATTAATAAAAACTAAAAAACATGAAAAATTAAAAAATTCAATTTTTATGAAAAGTGAATATTGAATTATGAAACTAAACAAGCTGATTAGTTCTTTCTGTTTTAATCAATGTAAAGTTAGGGCAGCATAGGAATTTGCTAAGTGAAATCATTTGGTGATCCTAGGGCATGCTTAGGGGATCCTAGCCTAGGGCATCATTTGGTGATCCAACCTATAATTTAGGTGTTGAGTGATAAGAAAATAACGGAATACCTAGGTGCTGTTTGGTAACAATTACGTTTTGAGTTTTCTATTTATATTTACAAAAATTTTAAAAACTCAAATAAAAACTTGTTTGGTAAAATTTTTGATTTATAAATCAGTGGTTTCAGTTTATAAATTTGGCCAAAAAATGAAAACATAAAAAATGTGTTTCCATTTTGAGTTTTCAGTTTTTTTTTTTTTTTACCACCTAACACTAGCCACCACCTGTCACCATTTTCCACCACCGTCTTCCACCACCACTACCCACCACCACTCACTACCCACCTACCACACACCGCCACCACGTTGTTGATGTTCGAAAATGGTCCAAACAACTACCTAAAGTGGTGGCTGAAAGTGATTTTTGGCAAGAGGCAGTGGGCGAAAATGATTGGTGGCCTCTAGAGGTGTTATTAGAGTGGTGATAGCGTTGAGTTATTCGATGATAGTGTAAGAGTTGAGAGAAAGATGAAATAAATAAAAAAATAAATCTAAATAACTCAAACTAATTTTTTTGTTTTACAAAAGTTTAATAAATTTTGTAGACTGTTTATAAGTTTTTGAAAACTAAAATAGATACAAAATGAAATTTTATTTATAGTTTTCAAAAATTCTATAAATAAAAATAAAAAACTGTAAATATAAACATTACCAAACATGAGTTTTGCAACACAAATTTTTACTAGAAAAATAATATATAAGTTCACTTTCTAAATTTAATTATGTGTAAGGGAGATGATTAGTTGATGATTAGAAAAGATTGAAAGAAAGAATTATCTTAGATATTGTAATTAATTGACACATCTTTAAATTTGTTAAGTCTAATTTTTTTACTTGAATAACAATGCTCATTCCAATAATATTGGAATAATGCTCATTCCAATAATACGTTTTCAGTTTTCTGTTTATATTTACAAAAATTTTAAAAATTGTCATAAAAACTTGTTCGATATTTTTTTTGATTTATAAATGGTTGTCTCAGTTTGTAAATTTGAAGAAAAAACATAAATTCAAAAAATGAGTTTATGTTGGTTTTTAAACAGAAATTTAAAAATTTGACTAACAAATTTTTTTTCAATTAATTTTTTTTTTCAATATTTTTTTTTTCCAATTATAATGTGTATGACCTCATTGTCATAAATAATAAAAAATAAATATAATTATTTTAAGCCTGAATAAACATATTTTTTAGTTTATGTTTTTAAAATTTTTCAAACATTTTGTTCAAACCAAACGTGTTTGTAGTTTATGTTTTTCTAAAAATAAACAAAAACTAGTTTATAAAGTTTTTGTAAATATAAACTGAAAACGTAAACGTTACCAAACACACCCCTAATAATTTTCCGATTTGGTTATTGATAGGAATATTGTCTTGTGGTGTCATGAACCACTTAGCCCTCGTTTTGAATTGGCTTTTCTGGCCGGACTCTTTAGTTATTTTAGCATGATTAAAAAAGTTGTGATGAAATGATAATTGACTTTTTTTTTTTTAGTTAATTTGATAATTGTAAGAGAAAAAATATAAAAAAAAATTTTGAATATGATATTTTATCTTATTAATTATTTTTACATTTTTTTTAAAATCTTTATTGATTATTTTAGCCAATAAATTTTATTCCATACAAGGCCTTGATAATTTTCTATTTTATGCTAAAACAATTTCTTACAAAATATCTTTTGTAAATTAAAAAGTAATAATAGCATTGGCGAAGGTAATAGTTACATGGCAATAGTGCCGATACTCTCAGATCATTGAATGTGAATTTAAGGACTCATATATTTTTTTAAATATAAAATATGAAGCAAATGCAATTATCATAATATATTTATTTATTTATTTATTTAAGTTTAGGGAAATATTTCTTTTGGTAAGTAATTAAATTTTATTGGAGATCTATAGGGGTCATGTAACCGGTGTGTGGTGAGAATTGAACTAATGGAGCAATAACGAACTTCTTTTACACTTTTTTTTTTTTTTTTAACTTAACTTTCACATTAAAATCTAATATTCAAACCCCCAACAAAATCAAATTTATTACAAAACAAAATGATTCGTAGGGAAGGTGGACACAAAATCAAGCCCAAATACGAAGCCCTTTTCCTAAGAAGAAACACAAAACTAGTCTAACGAAACTAAAACCAAGGGAGCTAGCCCAAATGCAGCCCAATAGATTACTAATATATATTTTGAGAATGTGGTTAAAAGTCATTTTTTGATTTTTAATTTTGAATCATATTATCTCTTTATTTTTTTAGATGTTTATTCAAAAAACAAAAAACTAAAAAAGAAACTAGCTTTTAACATACTTCCCAAAACAAGCCACACGTGATGGGTGTACAAGTTAAATAATAAAAATAAAATAAAATAAAATATTTAATATATATTGGTTGCAACTTCAAGTGGTAAGAGTCTTCTTAAAATTTGTACTCTTAAGTGTTCAAGTCTTGTCCCATCCTTTTTCTATTTTTTTTTTAATAGATAATTGGACACTTAGCATAAGGAGAGACAAAGTTTCAGGATACCAATGTAAGTCCTTACACATATAATAATATATATATATATATATATATATATGGTACATTACATTGACCTTTTTTGAAGTTTAAAGAAAATACAATAAATCTCACAATTTTGACATAATTATATTGATCTTCATTTTAGTAAAGTTAAAGAGATTAACTAATATAGATGATATGAATACATAAAGATACATAAGATAAAATATATTTCA